CGACAAGGGAAATATCGATCCAGCTGACCCATTTCCCGATCACCTTGAGCGTCAACTCTACCACGCCATCATGCTTATTTGTCCACTGCGCGAGGATATCCTGCCACGACATGGCAATTTTTTGCATATGCCGTTCTCGAATCAGATCTTTGAGATCGTTGTTCCTCTTCGACTCGTTTCCTTGGCGGCTGATCATTAGGTCGGCGATTTCGTCATGGACGGAGCTTAGTATACGGAGGTACAGCATAACGCCGCTGAGGTTGTCTCTTGAAGTACCATTTTGGGAGCTGGTCAAGGCGAGGAAGTCGTCGAAAAAGGTTTCCCAGCCCTCGCCGTAGAGCGCGACAAAGAGATACGTGAGGGTTTGTGTGAGCTTGTTCTGAACGTTCGCAGGGTCGGCTTGGTCCTGAGCGTTAGGACCATATGTGCGTGTGATATAGTCGAGTAGAGAATTTCTCACAAAGGCGAGATCGGGGGCGTCCAGCCCTTGAGAGTGGACGGCGTTGTTGACCATCTCAAGGGAGACATGGCGGACGATGTCGGACGCCCTGGGGCTTCGCGTGAAGAGCGCGGCACAGATACGCCATGCTTGGACGTCGGTCCTGACTTGGTTGAGGAACTCGAGCGCCTGGTTCTTCAGGGCCTGACTGGAACGAGGATCGAAGGCGATCTCAATCGCCTTTTCGAACTGCAGCAGAAACCATCGTCAGCACGAGAGGACAGAGAGGAATGACGTGTGCCAAAGAGGTACATTCTGATCCCTCCATTTGGATGGATATATGGCGGGGTCGGCCAGTGCAAGCTTGCGCGGGGGATATTTTTTTTTCGCGTTGGGGAGAGCAGCCTTACCTGGGCGTCCATGGTATGGCTGTTTGAAAGAAAGTTCAAGGGAAAGAAAAATCGGTTGGAGGAGTTCGCGGTATGGTTTGTACGTCGGCGGTGGTTTTGTCTTGCTGGTTTGGTTGTTGGTTAAAGTGCTGTAATAACCTGGGGCAGCGATGGTCAAGAGACAGTCGAAGACATAGTTTCCAAAGGCGGGGACCTTTTAGTTGGCTTCCATTATTGTAAATCTCCTTTGCGGTGCTGATCGGGTACTTTTATTTTTTCCCTGCTCCGGGAAGTGAAGGTCGAGACAGGCAGATGCTTCCTTTGGGCGCAGTATCAGGTGTCAAAAACAACAGGACGAGTGAGAATAATTTTATCACCGTGCAGGTGCGACTGTCCGATACTACAGCAGCAAGAAGAGGCCGTGAGCTGACGATTGGCACCAATGGCTTCTGGACTGGTCGACAGAAAACAAAGGCGAAGGAGAAACGCGGAAATGGGTCATACCCACCGCCTTGGTGGGGCTCAACTTTTCAGTCGAATCAAAAGTGAATGGACGGGAACTCTGCCGAAGCGTACCCAGCAGGGCCGCTCCGACTCCGCACCACACGTGCCCACTGCCCTGGGCCACGCCGGCCACCGCTATATCCTAGACGCTTAGGTTTCTGACCGCTAGAGCGATGCCCAACCGCCTGCAGGCTGCATTTCATCCCGTACTTTATCAGGCAGCCATCCAGACTTTAGATTTAATGAGCATAGGTAGAAGCCTCAAATTGTTGTTGGCCCTGCCAATGTCGGGACATACTACAGGTATGTTCTGAGTTGGTAGAGCCATGGCTGATGCGATACGCTTGTCGCTCTCCATTGTCTATCAGCTCGCTCACTCGCCCATACTGGAGGCATATGGAGCCCGAGATACCTCTACTAGACCAATTCCCCTGATCACATAGATAATAGTAGAGAAAATACAGAGTTAACACATAATCCCGTCACAAAAGTACCGGAACGCCCCAAATACCCAGCTGCCTGCCTGCCTGTGATCTGCCTTTTTAATCAAACAAGTAACGACGCGCCAACATGGAAACAAACCTAAGCCGTCTTCTTCTTCTTCTTGGGACGCTTCTCTCCCTCGTCATCATCATCCATGTCCTCATCCTCGTCATCGACCTGATTATCGACGTCGCTCTCCTCACTGCCCGACCCATCACTCTCATGGTTGCTGTCGTACTCCTCCGCCACATCACTTTCGGATTCAGCCTGGAAGTCCTCATCCACGCTCTCCTCATCCTCGTCAGCGGAGCCACGGTCAGCCTTGGGGCCGACGGCCTCTTCGTCGGAGCTGGCCATGTCTTCATCGCCCAAGGCGGCGGCGATAAGGTTGGTGTCATCATCGATTTCGTTCTTGACGCGCAGTCCTTTGAGCTTGAAAAATTCCTCGAGAGCCTTCAAGTCTTCACGGTTAATGTTGCTGAATTGGGATGAGCCCGCGCCGTTTTTCATGTGGACTGTAATGTCGAACGTCGACAGTGCCGAGACCGCACCGCCCACGCGTGAAAACGTAATGGACTGTGTCTGTTCGTATGAGATGTAGGTTGCCGGTTTGGGAACAAACATGAACGCCTTCTCCAAGCAGTAAAGGAATCCTTCACTGGCTTTGATAGAGCACTTGATGCCGTACTGTTGACGGTGCCTGCAGGTTACTGTGTTAGTACCGTTTTTAACCATGAAATGAATGGATGTAAACTTACGTTGTGAAGTCCTTGGCGGGTGTGGTGACTTTCTTGTTCGCAAGTCCCTTAAAAATGTACGCCACAACCTGATGAAGTGGTTGCTCGTAGTGGCTCTGAAGCTTGTCCTTGTACTTTCCGTTGAGTTCCTCCTCGGTGATGTTCAAGTCGAGAGTGACCTCTTCGTCCGACTTGAACTGCATGACCACGAATGGGTAACGTGTTTGACCTTGGCGAAGGGGCGGGTCAAGACCAATGCAAAGCAAGAAGTGGAGATCGTCCGGCTTGGGGAGCACCATAAACTTCTTGATAGCATCGTACTGGATCTTGTAGTCGTATGTCTTGCCACGGAGACGGAATGAAGCATCGTACATGTCGATGTCGAAACGTCCTCTATCGGGGGAGTTAGAACCAAAAAAGTATCAACGACCAACGTGCAGTTTCCACGTACCTGGGCGTGAGATGTAGCACATCGAGGAATGTAGCAATAGTATCACCCGCCGTCTCGCCAATCTCGGCCTTCTCAATAAGGGTGTCGTAGAACAGAGTCACGGCGTTCTTCTCTTCTTCATCGGCGTCGCTACCAGCCTCACCGCCCTCGGCCTCCTTTCGTGTTGTTGTTCCAGGGATGTAGAAGCGCACCTCGACCAGCTGATCCTTGCCGGCCGATGCCTTCTTGCCCTTTCCGCCTGTTCCGTTGTGACCGTTCGACTTGCCGCCATCGTTGGCGGCGAACTCAACTGCGATTTCGTTTCTTCCGGCAAGGTTCGTGTTGGAAATTTCGGAGTAAGGAATCTCGAAGGCCGGTCGGTTTTGGACGTTGAAGGTAAGCTCGGCTTTGCTAAACTCAGCCTTGCCCCAGTTCCATCCTCTCAAAGAGTGTTCCTTGTTCTCGAGGTTCACGCTGTACCAGTTCTTGAAGATCTTGCTGAGGCGCTCGTAATCCTGTGGCAAAACGTCAGCATCGCTTCGCTTCGAAGGCGCACCGATAGGTTTCGTACTTCTTGGTGGAAACCGTCGAGCTGGACTACGCCAGAGCTTCGCAAAAGGATTTTGACCTCGTAGCCCCTCGCCGCTCTGCTCCATTGGGCACCGCCGATGTTGCTCGAGTCGAGAGTGAAGGCTTCGCCGCCACCAGCAGGTTTCCAGCCCAAGCCATTTTCCGCAAATCTCGACTTTCCGCTCTCCTTGGACAAATCCAAGTAGATATTGTCAAAACTCTCGCTGTAACCGATGGTGTTAGAAATGGCTCTGAGCTGTGATCTCGGTCGGAGAAATCAGTGCCCTACGGCGTAGATGGAGCGGGGCACGTCCACCGTCGCAGGCAGGGCTGGAGAGCAAGAGCACGCGAAAGCATGAAATCCAGAAAGGGTATGCGACTTACATGGCAGCCATATTGCCCCTCTATCCAACTTTATAAGAATGAGTTGGGGTTGATGGACAGATTGGAAATGGCGGCGTCTGGCGTTGTGGCAGTGACGGATTGCAGTGTTAGTTGCAAGCAATCGCCGTTGAACAATCAAGGTTCGCGTGCCTACGAGAAAGTTGACCGTGTCGCGACTGGGCAGTTCGTTAATTGAAGGTCTAGCTGGCAGCTGGCATTCTCTTGAGCTAGGCGACGAAACATGCTCCTGCCAGGTGGCAATAGCAGTGCAAGGGTCCAGGCAACAGCTTGGCTGTAGAGCGTGGCAACTGCGAGCTTCTTTATCACAGGTCTGAGAGAACACGATGTTTTTGCTCTTAGTAGAGTCAGTGTTCATTCACTGGTCACTTTCAAAATTTTGGTCTTCTGCTCCATCTTCTTTTCCTAGGTATATGCATTTCAGGTTCCAACGGAGCCGCATTGTTGCGCGGAACAAGTGTCTATTCCCGATGGGCGTTTTTGGCTTTAACACGTTTTGAAGTTGAAGCTGGCTCAAATATGCCGCCTGGGTTACCGCCTTCAATTCATTGAACGATATCAACACGTTCTAGCGCAATAGCACTGCCCTTGGCTTCCACTTGAGAGTTGTTTGACGACCTAGGTAGCTCCCTAGCTTCTCCAATGTTGTCACCCCTAAAAAGCATGTGGGGTTAGCGCGTAGAGCTTTAAGTGGTTGCATACGATGTCTTCCGCGCCTGTTTCATGACATGGGATTGTATCGTTTGCGATGTTCTTTGTTGTGGTCTAATTGTTTGTGTTTGCCCTTGCATACAAACAGAGCTTTCGGTCTCCTTATTGTTGTGCTCACCAGTTATTCTACAAGGGGACTCGTTCACGAGTGTGTACGTTCCAGCCTGCGGCCTTGACCGGACCACGAGGGGCACTTATACGCCATGGTTGACGTATTACATGCTTGAACTGGTGGTGTCCCGCTCAAGCTGCCCCGCCTCGACTTCCTTCCGTCACCCGCCTGCCCTGATCGTCATGTTTCGCTCAAACGAAAGCTCTCCTTTGTTGCCGGCCTGAGCGTTTGTTTGCCTGCTTCAATCAAACCTTAGCTCGACCTTGGGCATCACGAACATCTCGAACTTGCAATCTTACTTAACCTCCAAGAATCCCAAGCTCGAATCAATCTTTCATCAACACTCTTGCCGCCGCCCTTTGTTTCTACACCTTTTCAAAGATGAGCTTCGAGCGTCCGCTTCGTGGCGGCTGCCAATGCGGCCGCAATCGTTACATCATCCAGTTTCCGCAAAACACTACGCAAAAGGCACAAGTCATCTTCAACTCACCGCCCTCACAATGTAGGAACCTGTCCAGCGACACTGACTGTCAGGAAATTCTGATTACTATCTCTATTTTCCCACGGGTATGGATCAACTGACGAAATGTTGCCCATGCAGATATCTCCCATGGCTCACCATTGGCTGCTTTCCTGCGGGTGCCTTTGCCATGGTACCACAGCACGACGCTTTGGTTTTCTCCCGACGAAAGGACATCGATGATCCATCGCGCCTACACATCTCCCTTTGAACCGCATTCTATGCGCCGCTTCTGCGGTTTCTGCGGTACGCCCTTGTCTTACTGGTCCGAGGAACCTCGCAGCGAAGCCGATTTCATCCAACTGTCGTTGGGCAGTCTCCATCCAGAAGATCTAGCGGACCTGGAGGACTTGGGTATGTTGCCGGACTTCGAAAGCGAAGGTGAAACCGAGGCAGATGTTTCAAAGAAGCAAGAAGGAAAGGAAGCAGTGACGCATATCGGCCGTCAGACTGTGGGGGGCCTACCCTGGCTGGACACCTTGGTCGAGGGCAGCCGACTGGGTACTCTTCGTGCTTCCAAAGGTCGCAGCCAGAACACGAGTGGCACAGTTCAAGTCGAATGGGAAGTGATGGAATGGACCGAGGGTGACAGCGGCTTCCCAAGCGGTTCCAAGGGAAACGGCAAGCGGAAGCTTGTAGCGTTATCATGAAGGACGTTAAGCAATGAGCCTGCAGTGGGATCACGTCCCCTGCCATGGTTCATCTATACACCCAGGCACCTCCCAAGACCATAAAAGGGCATTAGAGCGCTTGGGTTTGCGGGCATTCTTTTCGGCGTTTCCACACTCATGAGAGGGTCATCAAGGGATAGGCATTGTGAAGGCTTTTGGCAAGATTGGCCTGTTGTTTCGTGTTGTTGGGTCGCAGGTTTCCTGCTAGGCGGTGCACCAACCCGTGGTCCTTCGACATAGTCCTAAAATGCAGCATTTGTACAACGAAGACAAACCGTGATGCTTGGGAGTGAAAGTAGTACTTTTGGAAGAGGCCTTCCTTACATACTAGTCGAAACGGGATGTACGCAAGCGACTCAGGTGGACATCGACCGAGCGTTTCGCCTAGCTTGATCAACAACGGGACTAAAAGGAGGCAATCAGCAGAACATTCACATCCACATAGGTGATCCCGTCCCGTTCCCGGCTTTCCGTCGAAAACTGCGCCAGTTGAGTGAATCGTCGTGAACTCGTGGGCAAACAAGGGGGGCGGCGCAATGGAAAGGCGGGCCTCAAGTTCTACCAGCCGAGCCCAGTCTACCAGGCTCCGCGCGGCGATGTTGTGTTTTCAATCGCTGGCGAGGCCGAGGATTACCCGACTCGGTTCTGTGATCCGTATTATCAGGTGGCTTGGCCAACCTAGGACTTCGTTCCCAAGCTTGGGAAGTATTTCAAGCCCCCAAAGACAGTTGTCTGGTCTGGACGTTTGTGGCTGTTTCAAAGCCATCGTCGATTGAGTTCGAGCTCAAATGGTCGAAACAATGATGCATCGAGGTTCCCGATATGGAAAGATGAAGTTGAGGTTGAGACTTGAGAAGTTGAAGCGGCTCTGTTCTGCCCTGCCCTGCCTGCCTTGCCTTGCGCCCTTGCCTGCCCTGCAGCAGCAAGTTACAGCTGAGGTGAGCTAAAATTGGCGGCTGGATTGGCCCCGGCCGCCGACCTCCACAAGCCGCCGGGGAAGGTGCGGGGCCCCGGCGTTGGCGGGACACGTGCCGTCATCCTTGGCCATTACCTGACCGGGTTAAGCCCGCTTGGGGATTTTATCCTGCCGGGGCTTCTTTCTTTCTAGCCGCTCTCTAACACAACGACCGGCGCTACGGCCAACTCCCAAGCTTGCGAAATAGTTTTGCCGAAGTTTTGCCCTGGCTGCTGGTATGCGGCCCGACTTTCCGGTGAAAGACAAAAGGGTAAAAGCAAGAGAGGGCATGAAATTGAGGACACAGTTTGTTGGGGAGTGGAGTTGGAAAGATGTCGAGATTGAGGGCACATGATTGATGCTGTCTTTTCGTCCTCTCGTTTTCTGAGAACACAGATGGACGCCTGGTCTTTAGAAGAAGGGAGAGGAAAGATGGGTGTGTAAGCTGTAAGTGTGCCCCGACTTGTTACTCTACCCAAATTTGCGAATAGCCTCGTGGTCTGAAACGGTATCATCATGACTCTAATGTCGAATAGCTGAGAAAGGAAAATATTCCGTTTGTCATGTCAAAAGAGAGCTTCTCGAAGTCGAATAGCTTGTCAAAGACAGCTGCTTACTGGCTGGATCTTCATATCTTTTTCTGTGGAACCCAGCCGGCAACTCGACGACCGACGCATCACAAGTGCTTGTCTTCTTGTCCTTGTTCCCCTCGTCTCTTGACCTCCCGTTCAGCTGGTAACAGGTACAGGTACCTACACACGTACTGTGCATGCATCACAAGCTTGCGTTTCTTTTGGTGCATGGCTTCTTCACCTTCCACTTTTCCCAGTCGTCCGTCATCCTCCGTGGTCCCAAAACTGCCCCGCGGTGGGGAGGGAGCGGGACGTAACGCAAGGGTCCTTGTTCCTTGCGGTCGAAGCATACCGTATCGTGGGAAAAGTGACCATTGGTGTGCAATGGTGACACCTTCTTTTCCCTACGAGCACTACACCAATCTAAGACAAGCTTCGGATTTGGTTTTCTGCTGATTACCAGGACATAGGCTGCTGTGTGTTGTGCAATGTTTCCATGCGGGCAAGATTCGAAAAGCGTGGGGATGGAAGCACACAAGAAGGGTTGGGAACCACACAAACGAACAGGTACATACTGTACGGATCGTGGTGTAGTACAAGTTACACTTACTAGTGATGTTGTATTGACCTGTCTGATCTCTTCTGGGTACCATTGATCTACTCTCAGGCTATGCCTAGCCTAGCTTTTCTCTCGGTGTCAACGGTCCGAAACACGGGAGAATGGGGGTCAATAAGTGTCCCCTTTGGGAAGTACCTCTCTCTGGCTGGGCTAGGTCGTTTTCAAGGGCCATGGCTATAAGATGACCATCCCGCCCTCGGTTGGAGCTTCGTTCTTCTTTCATATGCTCCCTTTCTCTCTCCATTTTTCTTCATTCCCTTTCCTCCTCTATCCCAGTCTGATACATACCCTGCTGGGTGACGCATTGCATAGCGACAAGAGTTGAGTTGCTTATAACCAGTTTGGTAGAGTCATTCTGATATATCTACCCTTACCCATCTCTGGATAACTCCTATTTGTCCAACGAAATAAGCATTCATCATGTCTCTTCCTAAGGATTTCCTCTGGGGCTTCGCTACTGCGGCGTAAGTGCTAATTCTCAGCTGAGCTTGCGGACTTATTATCAGCAAGACCATATGTGCAGAGCTCAACAACTGACACACATAACCATGCATTAGCTATCAGATTGAGGGTGCTATCCACGCTGACGGCCGTGGCCCCTCTATCTGGGATACTTTCTGCAACATCCCCGGCAAGATCGCCGACGGCAGCTCTGGCGTCGTCGCCTGCGACTCTTACAACCGCACCAAGGAGGACATTGATCTCCTCAAGTCTCTCGGCGCCACCGCCTACCGCTTCTCCATCTCCTGGTCTCGTATCATCCCCGTCGGTGGCCGCAACGACCCCATCAACCAGAAGGGCATCGATCACTATGTCAAGTTTGTCGATGACCTCCTCGAGGCCGGCATTACGCCCTTCATCACCCTCTTCCACTGGGATCTTCCCGATGGTCTCGACAAGCGCTACGGCGGTCTCCTAAACCGTCAAGAGTTCCCCCTCGACTTTGAGCACTACGCCCGCGTCATGTTCAAGGCCATCCCCAAGTGTAAGCACTGGATCACCTTCAACGAGCCCTGGTGCAGCTCCATTCTCGGCTACAACTCGGGCTACTTTGCCCCCGGCCACACTTCCGACCGGACCAAGTCGCCCGTTGGTGACAGTGCTCGCGAGCCCTGGATCGTTGGCCACAACCTCCTCATCGCCCACGGCCGGGCCGTCAAGGCTTACCGGAAGGACTTCAAGCCCACGCAGGGCGGCGAGATCGGTATCACCCTGAACGGCGACGCCACTCTCCCCTGGGATCCCGAGGACCCCTTGGACGTCGAGGCGTGCGACCGCAAGATCGAGTTCGCCATCAGCTGGTTCGCAGACCCCATCTACTTCGGCAAGTACCCCGACTCGATGCGCAAGCAGCTCGGCGACCGGCTGCCCGAGTTCACGCCCGAGGAGGTGGCGCTCGTCAAGGGCTCCAACGACTTCTACGGCATGAACCACTACACGGCCAACTACATCAAGCACAAGAAGGGCGTACCTCCCGAGGACGACTTCCTCGGCAACCTCGAGACGCTCTTCTACGACAAGAACGGCAACTGCATCGGCCCCGAGACCCAGTCCTTCTGGCTCCGCCCGCACGCCCAGGGATTCCGCGACCTGCTCAACTGGCTCAGCAAGCGCTACGGCTACCCCAAGATCTACGTGACCGAGAACGGCACCAGTCTCAAGGGCGAGAACGACATGCCGCTCGAGCAGATCGTCGAGGACGACTTCCGCGTCAAGTACTTCAACGACTACGTCAACGCCATGGCCAAGGCGCGCAGCGAGGACGGCGTCAACGTCAAGGGATATCTCGCCTGGAGCTTGATGGACAACTTTGAGTGGGCCGAGGGTTATGAGACGCGGTTCGGCGTTACCTATGTTGACTATGAGAACGACCAGAAGAGGTACCCCAAGAAGAGCGCGAAGAGCTTGAAGCCGCTCTTCGACTCGTTGATCAAGAAGGATTAAGGGGTATTTTTGAGGAGGGGAAAGGGCAAGAAGAAAACATGGGCGGGATATCTGTTATGAATTTTGTGATGAATTGGGCAAGCGTCAGCAAGGGAAAGGGATTTGCGATGGTTTAGTGTTCTGGGGTCCTGTTTTTCTACCCCTTTTTTTGAGTGCGCATTCGAGTATTGCGTTCGTTGTCTGGTAACATAGCACCCAGATAATCGAACAGATGCATGTCGAGCCGTAAAAGGTTTGGTGTCCTACATCAACACATGATTGTGTCCGCAGGCGTGCCCGATGCCGTATTTGATACACACCTTGAAGGTTTGTTAGCAGGCCATCCTGTGATGTTTTCCATGCATCTTGCGTATCGAGGTATGTGTTCTCCCATAGGGACGAGGCCTTGTATTCAACGCATTTCCCGTAAAGCAAATGAGGATTGGGTGTTTTTGAATGTGCTCATGGCATTTTGGCTTTTCTTTACGGCGCCTTGGGCTTTGTAAAAGACGTCTCTCAGCGATAGGGTCACATTGTGCTGTGCGAAATGAGGTCGATGAGGATCGTTCCGAGCGGGATGACGCAAAGCACCATCCGAACTGTGCCGGTGCACTGATTTAAGGTTTGTCTCGAGTGAACGTGTTGAAGGTTTCAAGACGATGGAACTGTCGAGTAGAGAATTTCGGGCAAAGAGATGTCAAGACTCAGGATGAGTCGGCAGTTTCGGGTTTCATCTGCCTAGGACAAAAGTGATTTGAGTTGGAGAAGTCATGAGACAAGGGACAGGAGTTGGAGTTGGAGAGTTGGGGAAGCCGAGTGTGGGGTAAGGACCATCAGGTCCGGTTTCGGCAACTTGGCAAAGGGCCCCTCCTTTCTCCGCAATGGAATTCGAGGTCAATTGCCCCGAGGGCGCTGAGTGGTGAGAAGCAATGCGCACGAGCCACTACAGTCACCTGACGCCCTGCTTTATCCTTATCTTCCATGCCGACCCCAGAATTGTGTGTTATTCCCGTCTTGGCAGTTGGGCCGAATCTGGGGTTGACATGTCATCCTTGACCTTTTTGAGACTGGCGGGCAAGGCAGAAGCAGAAGACTCCAGTCAAGCAGCGCAGTGTCGAACTGTCATCAACAACTCACCTGGAGAACAACAACGCCAACTCTTGTTCGGTCAGCTTCGGCTTCTCTGCTGGTGCGACATCGGTTCTCAGAAAGGTGGATGTCCCGACTTCCGAAAGCGGCCAAGAGCGCGGTGATGCACCGAGTCGATCGCGCAGGTGTTCCTGGCCGGGCTGCTTGGGGTTTGCTTGGACGACCCCTGACGGACGCTTGACGCGGGGAGAGGGGATCCCCATCTTGCCGTGCCTGCTGCCGTGCTGACAGATTGCGGAGTGTACCCCATCTCGAGCGCGGCCGATGAGCCCCGTTGGCAACCCCGTTGTCACCCCGTACAAACCCAAGACAACTCCGCCAATGTCGATACTGGAACGTCCACCGACAGCCTCCGCCCCGGGGATTGGCTGGTTTGGCCCGAGGATCTTGGATGTGATGGAGTCCGGACAGCTGGAAATACCTAGATTCAGCAAGGCCCAACACCGTTACCCCGTTTACCGAATTCCCCTGTATCCCCTGCTCGTCATTCCCCAGATGTGAGGAGGCTCTGCCTTGTGATCCTTGTAAATTATAAATCTGTCTTGGTCCTCCGTGTGTCTATAGATATCGACACCTCCTGATTTGTTGTTTGTTGTTTCTCTCTGTCTGTTTTTCACTTCCATCACTCCCGTCATCCCCGACTAATTCAGCCCCAGCTTTTGCTCCGAGTGTTTTGGACAGCGGCTTGCTTTCTCTACCCGTCCAGTTTTGAGTTCACGATAGCTGATATCATTATACCCTTTGTCTTGTTCTACTTGTTTGGTTTCCAGTCCTTACACCACACGCCCAGCGTATTGTCTTGGAGGAAGAACATTCCAGCGTCGACGACTTGACGATTTACTACACTACTTCTGTTCACCACCCATCAGCCAACCACACACAACTTCATCATGTCCGGTGCGCCATCCAGACTCAGGAACGTCCTGAACCACCTACTTCCTCATGGACAACCAGCACATCACATCCACAACCTAACGCCCACCGTCTTCCTTGAACGGGCTGCTGCCATTGAGCCTGAAGCTGAGGCCATCTTTCACATCACCGCCAACGGCAAGACACTCAGGCGTTCCTACATTGAGTTCGCCGATCGTGCTCGCGGTCTCGCCTACTACCTACGCAAGCATGGCTACAAGCGCGTTGGCATCCTGGCTCCAAACACCCCGGCCTTCCTCGAGTCCATTTATGGTATCGTAGCGGCTGGCGGTGTCATGGTGCCTGTCAACATCCGCCTGAAGCCCGAGGATATTACCTACATTTTCGAGTTCGCAGAGGTGGATTCCATTATCGCCGATGCCGAGTACGCCCATCTTCTCGACTCGTACAAGAAAGTGCACCCTGGTGTTCCCGTTATTATTGATGTTGTAAGTAGCCTTTTGGGGACGATTATTAGCCAGAAGAAGAAACCGCTGACACCATGTACAGGACACTGATGCCACAGAAGGTGCGCTTTGCGGCCCCTTCGACGAGGCAGTAATGGAGGGTCTCAATTACGATAGGGCTACCGGCAGCAAGGGCTGGGCCGATCTCCAGAACCAGACCGTCGCCAACGAGGACGACATGATCGCCATCCCCTTCACCTCCGGCACCACCTCCAAGCCCAAGGGCTGCGTCTACACCCACCGCGGTGCCTATCTCGCCACGCTCGCCAATGCAATCGAGTCCGGACTCAACGTTGCCGATGGCCGTTCCAAGTACCTCTGGACGCTCCCCATGTTCCACGCTATGGGCTGGATGTTCCCTTGGGCCGTCTGTGCCGTACGTGGTACCCATGTGTGCCTGCGCAAGATTGACTACCCCTTGATCTGGAAGCTGCTGAAGGAGGAAGGCGTGACACACTTCTGCGCCGCGCCCACCGTCAACACCCTCCTCTGCACTGCCAAGGAGGCCGAGGTTCTTCCCAAGCCCGTTCGCGTCACTGTCGCCGCCTCGCCCCCGACCCCCCATCTGTTCGAGCAGATGACAAGCCTGAACCTCTTCCCTGTGCATGTGTATGGCCTTACCGAGACCTATGGCCCAATTACGAGGGGTTATATCCTTCCTTCGTGGGATAACCTTCCTCCTCATGAGAAGTACGCCAAGATGGCTCGGCAGGGACATGGCTTTATCACCAGCTTGCCAGCTCGCATCATCAAGCCCGACCAGCCCGAAGGAGTGTTGATCGACGTGGAGAAGAACGGCCAAGAGGTTGGCGAGATCTGTTTCACCGGCAACATCTGCTGCAAGGGTTACTACAAGGACCCCGAAGCGACGAGGAAGCTGTTTGCCGGTGGCGTGCTACACACGGGCGACTTGGCTGTTTGGCATGCTGATGGAAGCATCCATATTCAGGATCGCGCAAAGGACATTATCATCTCTGGTGAGTTACCTACTTAGTTTCCCTAATTACCCCTTGCCCCTGTCTTCTTTTACAAAAAAAAAATATGAACTAACCTTGAAATAACAGGCGGCGAGAACATCTCCTCCGTAGCTCTCGAGGCCATGCTTGCCGAGCACCCCGACATCCTCGAGGCCGGCGTCGTTGCCGTTCCCGACTCCCACTGGGGCGAGCGGCCCAAGGCCTACATCACCCTCAAGGAAGGTCATGAGACCAGCTTGACGGGCCAGGACGTCATCGACTGGGCCAAGCATAACAGCAGCATCAGCAAGTTCATGGTGCCGAGGGAGGTGGAGATTGTCAAGGAGTTGCCCAAGACTAGCACGGGCAAGATCCAGAAGAACGTGCTTCGGGAGTGGGCCAAGACCGGAGTCATTCCCAACTAAGAGAAGAAGTAAGGGAAGCTGAACAAACTGTTGGTGCGGGCCTGTATTCTGGGGAGGCGGGAGTTTTTCTGGTTCTTGTATATACTATTAGGGGGCTTTTTTTTTTTTTTTTTTTTGGTTTCGGCGCGCAAACCTCGGAGCGGTCATGGTATTCTGGAGTAACGATGTTATGAATTGGATTGCATTGAAGACAAAATGAGGGTTCTTCTAAAGCAAAATTCTATGGATGAATTGACTAAAACTTCATTTTGTACAGTTGGAAACACCTTGACAGGAATGCAATCCGTTGTACATATTTCCTACCATAGATGTGTATCCCTCTGGTGCTTCTTATCACCCAGACCAGAAAGGCAATCAAAAAACGAGGGCAAAAAAAAAAAAAAGCCTAGGCCGCATTACAACGAAAATAACAGCAAAAGACAAAGCAACGAAAAAAAAATGCAACTGGGAGGATTGAGGACTGAACGCGATTTGAACGCGTGACCGTTCGGACTGCAGCCGAACGCTCTACCCCTGAGCTACCGGTCCAATTCACAGTTATTAATAGGGTGTCCAACTAGCTTTCTTATTGTCGGTGCCAAGTGCCAAGGCACGCATTTACTTACGCCTCGAGGTTCCCTAACACCACCGCTGCCGCCGCCACCACCGTAGTGCAAGCACTCCAGGTCAGAGGGAAAGTGCGGAAAGAATGCAAGTAAAATGAAAAATTGATTGCAACCTGTCCTGTTCAAAGTCAACTCGGTTTTTGCACAAAGTTTTCACAGTCAAAGCATCGATGTAATCCTGCATATGCTAGATACATGGTGCGCGACGAATTCTCCTCTGTAAACAGGTGTACACAAGAGTCAAAGACGCCACGAGATCTCTTGTCTTTGATCGAACAGATGAATGGAATTAGTTCGAGCGGCAATAACCATACCTAACCAAGCCGTATGTCCTGAACTTCCTGCCCCTGGCTCTGACTTCCGACTCCCACAACACAAACCACCAACCCACCAAGCCACCAAGCAACCAAACCAAGCCCTTCTCCTTCCTTCCCCCTTTCCTAAAAACAGCGATAATATGTATGTATATGCACAAAATAGATCTGCTGATGACCACAGCTTTGTATGTCCTGTTGTCCTGTTCTTATTCCTTCCCCAAATGTTTTGCATATCGCTCAACCGACCGTCCAGTGCGTGCCCCCTTGAGCCCCCTTGAGCACCGGACACTCTTCATTATCATTATCTCTAGCATTGCCACCAGCATTAATAACTAAACATCTCGATCAATCCGCCTTGGCACCAGCCTGCAACCTCCTCATCGCGTCCCTATGCGCTCGATGCGCTCGATGCGCTTGTGCCACTTGTATCTGTGGCTGTCCGCTGCTTCGTCTTTGCTGGATCTCTATTGCTGCCCCTGTTGATGTTGGATCTTGTTGCTGCTGCTGTTGTTGTCCATACCCGTAGGTGTTTCGCTGTGTTGAGACCCTTCTGCCTAGTCCTGGATGGATTTGTTGCTGTTGTGGTTGTGTTTGTGTCATGACACCGACTTGATGACCGAAAGTATAAGGATCGTAGACGGTGGTTGGTTGTTGTAGTGGTGATGATGATGATGATGGGGGTATTATAGGAGTGGCGATGTTGTTCAGTGCATTGCGACTCGATGAGGCCCGCAAGTCAGCGGCGACACTTTTGCGGAAGTTGGCGAGTTTCGCTTGGCGGACGGCATCGGATGTCGACGATGAATTACTAGCTTGTCGGGCCGGCTGGGGAGAGGTAGGGGCGGAAGGATTCCTGGATTGGGGGTTGAGCTTCGAGTTTGGGCTCGGATCTCGGAGTATATCTCGTGATCGGTTGTTCTTGGATTCGTAGGCTAGGCTGCTTTGTCGAATGATTTTGCGGCGTTGTGAAAGGGGAATGTCGTCGATATCGATCGGCGGACTACAGCTACTGTCCTGTACCAAGTGCGGTTGTGCAGCAGGCGTTCCGTTGTAGACGACCTCCATTGCTGGTGCGTTGAAAAGAGGTCCGTGGGATTTGCTGCGGAGAAGAACCTCGCGTGTATCGATTAATGTCGACGGTGTCCGGTGTCGAGATACTCCTTGGGCAGGAGAAGGGCCGTAAGGATCAATCGCAGATAGCAACGCTGATGCCTCTGGAGGAACGGGGCGTGATGTTTGATGGCTTTCTCTTGATACTTGTTCTGTACCACGTCGATGGCTCTGAACACCTCCCTCCTCAGTGATAGTTTCGGTAAACAGTCTTGATGTAAGTCCTTTCAAAGTTTCGGAAGCAGACCGGTAGGGAGAAGCCCTTGTTGCCGCCACAGGTTCCGGCTTTGGTATAAGGTCCGGACCATGATATATGCCATCCGGAGACCTGGAGCTGCTGCGATGTATACCCCGTTGTTGAGCAAGGTAGTCTATCACCAAGCTTGTCGTTCTGGGGATGGCTCGAGGCACGCTAGCATTCGTGGCTGTCTGTTGAAGACCGACGAGATAGAGCGGCGCTGGTTTTTCGCTTGGAAGGTTCGAGTCCGTCTCCTTAGGATCGTCGATAGGTTGAGGCGTCACGGGCTCCTCAGGCAAGTCTGCAGCGTCCAGGTGCTTTGCCCATTCGTTTGTCCGGTAGTACAAAGCGATTGGCGAAAGCTCCTGCGCAATATTATCCTTGAGGAGGCTGTTACCTGAGGACTCATCTGACTTGGGCGTTCCGCTTGATCTCACTTCTGATCCTCCCACGGACGCAGGTACGTTCGTCGGGATTGGTTGATCCTTCTCCTTGTCTCCCTTATACTCATACGGCTCATTGAACATAAGAGCATATCCTTTGCTTGTTGATGGGGTGCCTGATTCCTGTTGGGCTTGGGGGTGACCTTGCTCATGGCTTTGAACCTCAGACAATGTCTTATCCGTCACTTCCTCTGTCGGTTCGGCCATCGGTTCAATCCGTTTGCCTGCGTCTTCATTGCTCTGATTCTCAAAGCCAGGAACCTTACTCTCCTCCACCTGGTCATCTTCATTTTCATCATCATCACTGACAAAGCCCAAATCATCCAAGTTTACCGCGACAGAATCCGTGTCGTTTCGTACTTTCCAAGTCGCCGCAACCCCTCCTTCACGACTCTCACCAGCCTGTTGATTCCTTTCGGCTTCGCGGTGTGCAGGTTTATGTGACAGATTTCGAAAGAGCTTAGCCGAGCTGTTCGAAAGTCTTCTGATCACCGTGGTCGACCGGTGCTGTGCTGTTTGTCCAAGCCCATTTCCCTCATCGTCGTCAACGGCGACGGGTGGCCCATCAATGCCAGCTTCACTCACCCGGACTTCAACCTCCTTTTCGTCGATTGTGGGACTTCCAATATCGGTGTTGGACTCGCTTGAAATTCCGTCATCCGAAGCCTTGATGGCACCTTTGAGGTTGCGAGTTGGAGAGCAAGCCATTGCAGCCGCGGTAGCCTGGGCCAAGGATGAGGGTGTTGCTGCCCTTTCAACTGCGTACTCATACTTGCTGGTGCCTGAGTCTGTTCCTGTCGTTGAGCGGGAGCGGGAGCGGGTCGTCGTAACTGCCGATATGCTTTGTTGACTGTGTCGCAGCACTCGCTTTTCGCTGTCCATATCACCGAGGCCCGAATCTTCCGATGGAGGTACCTGTCTGATTTTCCCATCTCCGTACTTCCGTTCCCACTCTCGGAGATCGCGAGCTCTTGCCTCTTCCAGCTGCCGTGCAGTTTTCTCGTCCTCTGCCTCCAAGTTCCTTTCATGATCTGTGAATTCTGATTCCCGTCGGTTTCTGACCAGACGCCATAGTTTAAGCTGTGAGACCATCCCAGCAGCAAAGATAACCATGATAGCTGCTATTTCGGCGCGAATTCCGCGGGTCAACGGGTACGTGACTGTGCCGAGGGGAAAGATATCATCGTTTAGGTCCCAGATGTATGCCCAGAACTCCTTCAAACCCGCACGGGCAAAGCAATCGATACCCAAAACCGCAGCAGTGGCACCCGAAAAGGAGATGGAGGCGATAAGGCCGTAGGTGCGCGTCCAGCGAGTGAAGTATAAGCAAAAGCCAGCCAAGGATAGCAGGATGATGAAAGCTACCTTGCCGCCGCTGTGTTGAATTAGAGCTCCCGACCTGAGAGTAAGCAACCACATACTGAAACAAAAGCCAGCGAGCAGGCAGGCTAGACCTTCGGCCAAGTCCTGGAATATGATGGCTAGGCCGCCAACTATCATGCCAGTACAGCCCGCAGCCACGACATAAGCTCCCTGGACCGCGTCACTGACTTGGGGATCAGCTACGTACAGGATCAAAACAGTGGTTCCTAAGCTGGCGAGGAAGCCGGTGGTAAGGAATGTGTGGAGCCATCTTTTCTGGATCCCGACCAGACCGCAGACGATACCTGTCACGATGAGTATGGCGCCAGAAACTGCCCAGCCAGGAGTGATTCTCGGCTGGATGGGAAGTTGGCCATGGGGTATTGTAACTGAAAGTCGGTAAGCTGTTGCCTCGTCTAACACCTGGGCAACATAATCACATACCTTGGAAAACGGAAGAACTATTGGTAGTCTCGGTAGCAGTGACTAGTATAGAACTCTTCGATGAGCTTTGAATCACTGATGTTGACGTTGGCGTATTTATGGTGATTTCGATGGCACTGGTAGGGACCTGAGTTGGGGAGACTGTAGTCGATATCTTTGACTGTTGCCTTTTTTCTGGTCTGATCAACCCTCCTAGTGTGAGAGTGAAGAAGAGGTAGAGGCACAACAAGTGCCTCACATTAACCAAGGTCGAGGCCCTCATTCTGCTGCCTTCGTCGACGGCACCGCACTGAGACGGCTTGAGTCTATGACAAGTGAGGAGGAATGTAGCCTGGGGACTTCCACAGGTAGTCTATCCCATCCGACCCAGTGGCATGGCTGACTTATCAGTGGATGAAAGCCAAGGGAAGCAACAATGGGCAAGAACAAAACAAGATATGATAGTGTGAAAAAATGAGAACCGGGTACCCACAAGCAGATGGAGGATACTGGCCTGGGAGATATGGGAGGGGGTTGAATGGGGCCGATCAAACGATAGTCAAAACCTGGATCGAGATCATAGCGAAGGCAGAAGTATACCGGTTTAAGTAACATGTAATGACATGGGTACCGTCAGTAACACGACTTGTTATCCCCCGTCGTGTAAGGCTCTTTGAAGGGGAGGACTGACGAAGAAGAGCTCCATGTTGGGCCATCACCATTGAGCAGAGAGGCAATGTGTATGCCACGGTGGAAGACGTGACGGTGGCTTGCCGTGTCATAGGTATTGGGAGCTCTGCTCTGTTGTCTCCGGGAGAGCGGTCCAGCTTGGGACCCATGCTGCCATGTCTTCCAGGACGGGAAACTGGGTGGATGCCGGGAATCGAGGCGCCATGATCCAATTCTTACTTGCCAAGGGTACGAAATCCCTGCTCTTGGAGACGCCGCAGCGCCTCTGGGCATGGTGTCTCTTTCGGTTCTCCGCCCGTGGATGCCAGTCAAGCGTCCCGACTACCGAGACAGCTTGACAACCAAAAGCCGGCCAGCCAATCTTGAAGGAGAGGTGTGTATCCATTCTGCATCATGAAGGCCAAGGTGCATGACACTAGAAAATGCTGCAGGAGACGCAGGAGAAGTTGGTCGAGGAGGAGGCAAGCAGGCCGGGAAGAGCCTGATGTACGGAAAAGATGTTGATGCGACGTTCAAACCCGTCCCGCAAATTGACAGTTTCACATCCTCCAACCGCGTGGTCCGAGCCTTCTGTGCTTTGGAGGAGCTTCCTTCCCGTTGTTCGTTTGTTCAAGATGCACCGACGAACGCACTTTCCATTGTCCGAATCCCAGATGGCTGGGACAATCAAAACAAAGCAAGAGCAGATCATCTCAAGTTTGACTTTGGTTATCGAGTCCGAACCAAACCCAAGTGGAACCTACGCCTTTGGGACCTGCTTCCGCTTCTGCCTCCATCCCCAATACAGACATTTCCTCCTTGGATGCATGCCCGAAACCTGTTGTCAGAACATCAAAATCTGCGATGGGCCAAAGAGAAGGAGAAGGAGTCTTATCAATGCATCTTGGTCTCCCAGATCTATTGGCTACCAAGATGCCAGCAAGCAACCCCAAAACCCATTGAGAAAGGCTGGAAAACACCAAGTTGTTTGAAGACGGGATGGGGGACATTGACGACAGGGCGTGAACGCGGGAACCCCTCGGGCCGTGACGACGCCTCAGGGCATCCCACCTCACCACACCACACCATTTTCATATCTCCAACCTCCTGAATTAAAGCCTCCGGACGGGAAAGGGGAAACCGGTGAACGGCAAGCTTCCCAATTGCAGCTTCCCCAGCTCTCCAGCTCCCCTCTCATTTCGATCTCGATGCCACCTTGTCAGCTTTCTTTTGGCAGCCGCAAAGAGGTGTGTGTGATGTCACACATTTGCTTGCTGAGACCCAAATAGAGGTTAGCGACATGGGTTGTTAGTTTGCACGTGTGGGCTGGAACTAAAATCCCTGTTGAACCCACCGCTTTAGCGCGACTTGGGTCGGGTGGGGGGCTCATCCCAATTGGAGATGCGGACCTGGTGGAGGCTCGGGGCGGGCCTTGGCTGCAGCCCCATCTTTTACAATACCATCTCGGGCACTCCACCTCCAGTCGTGTCGTCTTCATCTCGAACGACTCCAATGTGGGTGGTGATCATCCCACGTATCTTTCTTTCATCATCAGATTGAGTTGAAAATCACAGTGTGCTTAAGAGTTTAAACCTATTGCTTATTCACACAGCTATATCCCCAAAAAGCATTCACGATACCCTCGCTTCTTCCCGTCCGTCGTCACCAACAACCCCCGGGCCTTCTCTACGAACCCTCACTCCCAGGCACCTCCCAGTTCCATATCTAAAAACAGCTTTCGGAAAAAGCGAAAAGGCTAGACACATTACACGCACGCGGGCACTTTTTGTCTCAAACAGGACTCAGCGCCTCTCTTCACCATCTTCTCACCTTGTTCTTCACCTTCAATAAGCGGCTGCAGAGTGTATATTACCTCCCATCCTAGCTTACCCAACCCTTTTGCCTTTTGCCTTCCTTTCCATACATCGCCATTAACATATCCTTCCCATATCCCAACCTCCTTTCGGCAGGATTTACCGACCACCTCATTACACATGCGGCGTGCCGAACCCCAGGTTTCCCTCTGCAACCAGCCGTCTGGTGTAACTTGTGTGATTTTGGATCAAATACCGAAATCGCCGAGCCCGACAGCTCGGTACATATGGATTGTGGGTTCTTGACGACCCCTTCGACTACGCACCGCTGGGCTGCCGCCGGACTACCGGACTCCCGTCCACGTTTTGAGACACTGGAAGCAGAATATTGAAGCTCACCTTCCTCATCGGTCACGTTACATGAACATGGACTGTTTCTTTGGCTTCTTCACCGTGAGGGGGTTCGTATCCCGATATCCCAAAAGCCATGGTCGTTAAGAGAGATATGAGTGGCGTACTTGCGGTGAGTGGTGGCCGCGGAGCATTTGGGTCCAGCGTAGAGTGGCGCAACATTGTAGTAAGAGATGTCAAAGGTATCGTCTATTCTGTAATCATAATGCGGCTTTTGGAGGTTTTGTTTTGGCATCTTCGCCAAATGCTTTATGCTTTCTCGCGCTGAACCGAACAAGTTATGAGAAGCATGACCAAAAAGGAACACAGAGTATGTACGTTGTAACAACAGAAAAAGCGTAGGTATCGTTCATGTCATAAGGGCCATACCATGGTTATTGAACCAACCACCCGACATAATTTTTGCTCATCCCTTCGTTACAGTCATCAATCTTCGCTTATCTCCTCGAATACCGCGCCCCGCTCCCACTTCCCGATGTCGTTCTCCTACCACTCGCTGAGTAGCCATACTCAGCGCCACCGCCAGCGTATGGAGGGTATCCTGTGGAATTCCCTGGTCCAGTCGCAAATCCGTTTCCATTCATCCCTTTCCTCGCGCCACCCAAGTTACCGGTGCCACTAACCTTACCAGAGGCAACCCGGCTCCTACTGCTTCCCCCAGTTACACCCTTCAGGAAGCCTGCCACTGCCCTCAACGGGAACAAGACAACGAAACCCAACAAAGCCTGGAAGGGCATAACCGCCGCCCAGACAATGGTATCCAGCGCCTTTGCAAGCATGCCGAGCATACTGAACCCGATATTAGAGCCCGTAGCACCATTTGCACGGCTGTTGTTCCCGTGTGGTCTGGCACCAGTGCCTCCAGCCTTGGCCGCAGCGGCCGCCAACGCAATGGCATCGTTCAGCCTGCCATCTAGCGCGCCCAACCTTGCCTCTGTCTGGTAAGCCAGAACAGTAGCCTTTTTCTCATAGCGTCTGACTGCACGGTTGAGCGCGTCCAAATCCGGCTGAATCGTGTTGCGAACCTCACGCACCATCCCGTCGCGGACTTTGGGGTTCAGGTTCTGCTGATCCTGGCCTCCTTCCGAGCCGTCGCTTTGTCCATTGTTGTCGGAATTCGATGGCTTTGAGCCCGTAGCACGTTGTTCCAGCTCGTTAAGCCGCTCCAGAATCTCCTGCAACTTGGTCGGAGCTACGGCCGACTCGGAATATGGGTTTTTGTGGACGATGCGCTGGAGATGTAGCGTGCGCGCTTGAATGAGCTTGATGAGGTGCGAGAAAGGCCGGACTTCGGCTGCAAGGATGTAAAGCGTCAAGGAAAAGTCAGAGACGAGCCCGCCCTCTGACTTGAACTGGTTGCGCATGATCTGAAGTAAATAGGCCATCATCAACGGAGAGACAAAGCACAGTACCAGGGCGAGCGATTCGATTGTGTAGAGCTCGCCAAGGGCTTTCTGAACGCGGCGGGCGTGGCGAGAACTGTGGTGTTTGTGTTGCTGGGCGATAGGTATCTCCGGAATATTTAGTCTAGCGTCTTCCTCGCTTGAAGATGTGGTGTGCTTGCTTTCGATCGGTGTACGTGGTTCTTGGACCTCGGCCGATGGTGTTTGGAGAGGTGTTACCGTAGGTGATGCTCCATCTTCGTCGAGGGCTGATTCGGCGATTTGCTCGTTTTCTATGCGGACTTGTTGGGCAGACTTGTACATGTTCCTGTGCTACCGTGTAAGTAAAGACCGCCATACGAGGAAACAAACAAAAGCTCACCAAGGTACTGTGAGGGACCAATGGAGAAATACAGCGGCGAGAACAATCATGATGATATCGGTGATGAAGTCGCTTCCCTTGTGGTGAAACATGCCTGCGACGGCTGGCAGTAGCGCAAATGCCAAAGGCATCGTGGAGGATTCTGAAGGTCCTTGCTCATCGGAAGCGAAGCTGGCCGGGTTTAGAATCTCATGTTGAAGATTCCTTCTTGCGGCATCCAAACTGTAGTCCGAGAAGGTTGAGCTGCGTCTCCTAAATTGTCCGAACGGGGTCTCTGGGGTGGACTGAGGGTTGATGGTGCGGCGGCGAAGTTGGGCTTGCTGGGACCCTTCGTCGACGGTTACGGCCCGGCGGATTGGACGAATATCGGGAGTGGACGGCGACATGGCGGGGGTCGCCTCGGTCTGGGTAGAAGTTACTGTGGCCATGTTCGGAGCTTTGGCGGGTAGTGAATCGGATGAGGTTTTGTTATCACGGAGTCCGGGCGTTGTCATTGACTCGAGCAGGACAGCGAATGCGTAGGATGTAGCACCTTTGGGCGAGCGCGATGCACCGTATATGTGCAGCTGATTGCCCGCAAGTCGAGATGATGACGGGTGATATATTCGACGGGTGGTTTCTAGGTCAAGAGAATGGTGTCGGGTGTAGCTCACAAACGTGTTTCGAAGCAAGGACGGGTGAGTAAGTGCAAGGTGGGAAACTGTGACGTAGTCTGCAAATCAATTGGAGTTGCGGGGAAGATGTGTTCGTCGCTGCCAGATGCCAGATGACTGCACGTCATTCAGCCTCTTCCCAATTCCACTGCACAGCTGTCATCCAGGCAACGCTGCAATCCGTACAGTAGCGTGAATGAAGGCGACGTGATGTTGCTGCAATGCGTAAAGAGATATCTCACTCAAAAGATGGTGAGTTGGGAAGCTGAGAGAGAGGACCGACCACCTCATGCTACCAAGTGGAGAAGATATAAGTGATGGCCCTAGCCGCCCTGGGCTTGGCTCGTTAATCTAAAGCAGCTCTCCTGCTGTGTTACAAGAGGTGGCATTGGGTATCGAGAATGATATGTCCATGTGCTAACATCCTTGCTGCTAAGACTCACCTACAGCTGTTAGTGACAATGTGCAACTTCTGACATCTGATTCTCAACCCCGCTTGGGTCTCCAGATAAGGCAGGTGGCCGGCGACGTTCTCGGCCTCGCTTGCGAAAGAGCTCGGAATATCTGCTGCAAAAAGCCGTAATGATTTGTTTCATTGGCTAGGTAAGGAGGCTCTGCATCAGGGTCGGCTGGGATTTTTGAAATCTTTTCTGGACGCGAATGGCACATTCAAAGGTGTCAGATTGGCACCACTGCGCCAAACAAGCAAAATTGGAGCTCCGACATTGTCGGAGTAGTGGCTCAATCGGCCAACCTATAATTCTGACACACCCCCTCAGCTGCACCGCGATTCTCACGGAAAGCTGGATTAACCAGGATACTTTTCCCTGCGTACAGGTCTCTGGGACTCATCTACAGGCGAGTGTGCTGCGCAATGCAAGTGTAGGAACGAGCTTGAATGGGCGAAAAGTTCTGCCTCGAGCGTGATTCGAACCCACACCCCCTCAAACGCAAATCAGACTGTTAATTGTCAGATTGGCACCACTGCGCCAAACAAGCAAAATTGGAGCTCCGACATTATCAGATATGACCGTGCAGAATTGATTAATTGAAGAGTGTGTGTGACTGACTCGAGCCGTCTCCCCAGAAAGTATGGGGGGGGTGCTAGGGTAACCCAGATATGCCCAGAAATCAGGTAATATTAGGGGGCTAAGCAACTAACCTATATAAAATATAGCCAGAATCCCAAAAATTCACCCTCTACTCTAATACACCCTCTTACTTACAAACCTTTTAAATAAGGTAAAAATAAAATTATTTATAAAATCTTTCTTCTAGCACGTTAATTTCTCTAGCTAAATTATAAATATCCTCCAAACTATTATCTGGAATCTTCTTATTTATCTCTATTTCCTTACGAACTAGTATATTCGTTATTCCTATTAATTTCTAGAACTTTTTATATTCCAATTATCCCAAAGCTTTTGTTAAACCGTTAATTAGTATCTTCTTTATCTTCAAATACTCAACTTAAATCCTTCCCTCTATAATCTCCTACCTTAATTAATAACAATAAATATTAATATATTTCAATTTAATTATTAACTTCGCTACCTCGACAATTAGTATACGGATCGTCTATATATTATTATACCCGATTATAAGTATATCCTTATCGAAAGGAATATTAATCTCCTTATACAAACGTATAATAGTAATAACCTCCTTAGCAACGTTTCAAATCGATAACAACTCTACTTTTATTATTAAAGTAAATATCGTCTTTTATTTAGTAGTACCCCAATAAACCAAACTATTAAAAAGTTTAATGGTAAAACTATATAGATTCTGTTGATTTAGCGAATTATTTACGTACAATATATCTAAAGTAATTTCTAATTTCGTTAATATACTGTAATAAAAGGACAAATTAGGGTAGAATTAAAAATAATATAGGACTTTATTAATAGCCTTATGATACTAAGGATTAGGATTGTAATTGTAGTGAATTAATTGGCTAGCGGTGAAAGGGATATTAGGCTGGGTAATTATGGTAGTATATATTATAGAGCTAATAACAACCTAATAATCCCGAATTTTATCAAAAGAAACTACGCTATTATAAAATATAAATTCTTCGTTATTTATTAGAATTAAAGCGAAAGTATAGGAGTTTTTAATTAATTTAATAATTTTATCAATATATTCCCGTTAAAATAATTAAATATAATTTACTTTTCGATTTCGAATAATTTTAATTCTTAAGAACTATTAAAAATCCTTACTGCTAATAAATTTATACTTTTCTTCTAACTTCTTCGTAACCTGAATAGCTTTATCATACTATAATTTATTAAAAGCGAAGACGATATTATTAACGTAATAGAAAATTAAGATTCTATTATATTTAAGGATGTACGGGTTTTTGAATAATAATTTAAACCCTAAGCTTTCGAAGGTATTGTTAAATTCTTGCTACTATAATAAGAGAATACGTCGGAGACTATAGAGAGCCTTAAAAAATTTAAAAATAGTACTATACTTTTAATAATTAAAGGGTATACGTATATAAATCTCCTCATTAAAGTAGGTATTAACGAAAATATTTACTATGTTATATTAAATAAATTTAAAATTAAATTTAATAGCGTATACAATAATTAATCGAAATAAATAACTAACTAATGTAAAAGCATACGTCTCTTTACCGTAATTATATTACTAATCTCCTCTAATTACAAAGCGCACTTTTACCTTTAATAACCGACTATACTTATTAAACTTATATATATATACCTATATATAATCGAAGATCTAAAAACTTTTAATACGGAGGATATCCTTATTTATTTTAACCTATAACTTTATTTCTTTATAACTATTAAAATATATTTTCTCTACTTACCTAAAGAAATTACCTAAATTATAATATTCGAAATCGTAATAAATTTTTAGGATTAAGGGAAGGTTTTAACGTTTAATAGAATCTAATTTACTACCCTTAGAAATTAAGTAGTTAATTTTTACCTTTATAATTATCTTACCCTACCGTTATCCTACTAATTGAACGAATCTCCTAATATTAAACGCAGCTTTTTATAATTTAAAGGTTAGGAAAGAAATAGGCTTTAATAGATTAGTTATAAGCCTAATAATAAGAGAGGTTAATAACGTACTTAATAAGGTAGGGTACCCGAATATAAAATTAATAAATATTTTACTCTAAATGGTAGGCTCTATTAATTTCGAAATAGTCTCGTTATTATCTTTTTAAAGTTTGATATTAAAGAATAATAATAAAAGAGAGGTAAGACCGTTATCTTCTATATCTTAAATCGTATTAAAGGGTTCGAAATATTGTATAAATAATTAAAACGGTTAATTAATTCAATTATTTAAATCGGTAATCTTATTACTAATTAGCCTCAATCCTTTTTTAAAATTATTAAGGTTCCTTAAATAAATTAAATCTTCGTTAAAAAGTATATTAGAGGTATGAATAAGATAATTAATTTGCGGATTTTAAATTTAATAAATAGAGGAGGTAGTATAGCTGATTAGGAATCTAATCTAGGCTTTTAATTAAAACTTTTCAAACCGTTACTTTTTCTTTTATATAATACCCGTTATTATATATACTTTATAACCATAAATATATAAAAAGTTAAATTAAACTTGTGGGGTTTAATTTATACCCCCTTATAATAAGCGATAAAAGTATAAAATCTTTCGTATAGTAACTTTTAATTATAAAAATACTTAAGCAATCGGTTAATAAAGTAGACTGCAACGGAAATAATTTAGGGCTAGAAGTTATAAAAGAAATTTATACTATTCGTTATTATACGCGCCTTTTCTTTAATTATACCCCCTAAACGCTTAATACTACTATTTTAAATTTAAGTATTAAATACTAAATGTTCGAAAATAATAAAGCGTATAATTAATTTATCCCTAATGTCACAGGGCTACCGCCTAGAGGTTTATATTAGGCTCTACAGCCTAACTCCCTGCCTGTAGCTTATACCTTGTAGTTTGCGATGGCGCTGCGCCTTTATAGCGCTGTATACATACTTGTAACCCCCTTTAAAAGGCCGTAGTTTGTAGTTCCGCTTTACAGCCCGACTTTTCTCCCTTTTCTCTTTATAGAACCTTATTGATCCTATTTTGGCCTAGCATTTATACTATATTCTATTATCCCCCTTATATTAGGTTCTATTTCTTTTTATTTAAATAGAGCCTATAGCTTAGTACGCAGCGATATTAAATATTAGTTTATTAGAATAGTTAAATTCGGATTGCTTATAAATATCGACGAAGAAATAGTATTTACCTCCTTTTTTTAGGATACCCCTTCGGGCTCTATAGAAAATCCTATAGGAACTACAAGAATTATTATTATTACTCTTAAATATAACTTGGAGAAGATAACGACCGGCTTTATTACAGCTATTACTAATACTTTTAATATTAATAATTTGGACTTTATACGAGTCCTTCGTTTTATAGTTACGAATTTTACTTCGAGCTATTCTCCAGTCTTAAAACCTAATTTCAATTTTTCCCCGGTTGTAACTAGCGTTAGCTCTATAATTAGTAACAATAATGGTAATAACGGATATATACGTATATAGAAACTTTTAGTCCTATTTATTTAGGATAGTTAATAATTAACCTTCTTATTTTATTATATTTTATTCGTTAAAACGTATAATATTAATAATAAAGCGGGCTTCTACGTAAATAAAGATGCTATTTAGATCGAAATTTTTAATACTTTCCCCGATAATAAGAGAAAGAAATTAGAGGGATTCTAAATTATATATACTATCAATAATGATATAGACCCCTAATTCTGATTAGGATAGATTAATTGCTTTTTTAGCGCTTACTACTTCCATAATATAGCCTTCGCCCAGTTGTACACTATAAAATAGTATAATGGCTAGACTTTTTCTTCCTTCTATGTTAATTAGGAGGACGAATTCTTTAAGGTTAGAAGCGTTACATAGAACGATAAGTCTAAGTTAGGTATTTTGTATAACGCCCTTAATATTAAA